AAATATATTTTATTGATTTTTTACAGAGAGGAAGGGAGAGGGATAGAGAGTTAGAAACATCGATGAGAGAGAAACATTGATCAGCTGCCTCCTGCACACTCCCCACTGGGAACGTGCCTGCAACCAAGGTACATGCCCCCGACCGGAATCGAACCTGGGACTCCTGAGTCTGCAGGCTGATGCTCTATCCACTGAGCCAAACCAGTTAGGGCTTTAGTGTAGATTCTTGTATTCCTTATTTTTCCTTTTTGAACAACTATAAACCTACGTTTGCCAACCCCTGTATATCCAGTATACTGGAGAGCTATAACCTGCTCCCATTTGTAATCAGGAACCACTCTGGCAAGTAATTTAAAAAAATATATATTTTTAATTGATTTCAAAATCGAAGGGAGAGGGAGAGATAGAAACATGATGAGAGAGAATCATTGATAGACTGTCTCCTGTATGCCTCATGGTGGGGATTGCGACTGCAACCTGGGCATGTGGCCTGACTGGAAATCAAACCATGATCTCCTAGTTTATAGGTCGACGCTCAACCACTGAGCCATGCTGGTGAGGCAGGCAAGTAATTCTCAAGGAGTGGTCATCCCTGGTTGAATCATTCAACTGAACCAGTGGCTCTCAACTGGGGATGACTGCCTCCATGGAGACATTTGGCAATGTCTGAACATTTTTGGTTATTGCAACTCGGAGGAGGTAGTACTGAAACCTAGTGGGTAAAAACAAGGATGCAGCTAAACATTCTACAATGCACAGGGCAGCCTCCTACAACAAAGATCATCTCGTCCAAAATGTCAATAGTGCCAAAGTAGAGAAACCCTGAACTAGCAGGTTCAGAAATTATCAGCATCATATGCAATGCCAGGCACATTAGAAGTATTTGTCATAAATGCTGCATTAATAAAAGGAATTCCAGTACATGCTGTAGTAATTTAAGACACTATAGTTTATAATCATATATATAAATATAGGGAAATAAGCCCCTACAGGTCCTTTAAATAAAGAACAATCATAATATTTCTTTCTTAATGTTTTAACAATCAACACTTCACTTTTAAAATCCTTTCCATTTAATCTCTTCTACTGAAATAATGCTGCTCACACCACAGGAATACCAACTAAGAGGGAAGACCAAAATGTTGAATGTTCTTTCACTGGAAAACTTGAAAATGCCACCACCCACTTGCCCTCTCACAGGGTAGCCAGTGTGCTGGCACCTGTATGCATGCTTTGAGCTACAACTCATCAATCACTGAAATTCAAATAAGTGCAGAGGTGGAAGGTGGCAGTTTTACTGAGATTTTTAAAATTTTCAATGTCAAATATTAATGAAGTTGACTCGTGGTTCTGCTAACATAAAAAGAACACAGCAAGGGCAATACACATAAGCCCTGTTTCAAACACCTTCCAAATTACAAAATGTCTTCTATACTTTTAGATAAAGAATGAGGAACCTGAAAGAACATGTAGAATACTAGAAATGTAATTGAAAATGAACTTGCAGGTTTTTAAAAAAAAAACATGGTTAAAGTATGGAATACTTCTACAAGAGCAAAGCAGTACAAACATTAATCAAGACTCACTTTAAAAGATGAAAGATTGGGGGGAAACCAAGATGGCGGCATAGGTAAACACCTGAAATTGCTGCCTCGCACAATCACTTCAAAAATACAACTAAAAGACAAACGGACATCATCCAGAACCACAGGAAGGCTGGCTGAGTGGAAATTCTACAACTAGAAGGAAAGAGAAAAGCACCCCGAGACTCAGAGGAGGTGCGAAAGTAAAGTGCAGAGGTACGGAGGCGCACGCAGAAAGGGCTGGCAACTGAGGACACAGTTGTCTTTTTCAATTGGGAGGGAGTCACATGCTCCCGCTCTGAACTCCAGTTCCAGGTGAGTCTCCGGGGACCAAGACTCATACGGGGAGAAACTGGACTATCTGGCAGCGGGTGGAACTTGAGGGCGGCTTTCTCCCAGAGGTGCTTGCAGGAATTACTGCGGGACACTGAGACCCCGGGCCTCTTAGGGCAGGACTGAGGATCAGCCATAGCTGTTTGCTCCGCCCTGTTGATTCCCTGAGACCCCGCCCCACCCAAGCTGTGTGCAGAGGCTTTTGCATATGAATGACCTGGCCCTTTGCAATCTAAAATTACTTAACAAACTGCAGCTGGGTCGGAGAGTACCAGAACATCCAAAAGAAGGCCCAAGGCCCCACAGCAGCTTGCATTGCTTCACAGATGGGCCTCATCTGGGCACCTCCCCTACCTGGAGAACCCCAAACATGGAAGAGGAATCTACAGATCTCTCCGTAGCTCCTGCTGGGTAGCCTCAGGCAGAGGCTAAATTAGCACCTCCTTAGAGATCCAAGTGCCAGTGTACCCAGTGGTCAGAGTGGGACCATCCGGATTACAACTCCTCAGATCCATAAGGGACACACTCAGGGGGCAGACTCAGTGAGCACCAAAGCCCCAATGAAGCAAGTCTTGCCCCATAAGGGTGTCTCCAGCACAGAAGTTCTCCCACTGCAGACACAGCTGATTCTCACTGCCAATTGGCCTGGAGGTCTCAAGGCTTAACGGTGCACACAGCCCACAAAGGGGTGCACCAAGAGTGTCCGCCTCAGGTAATTGGGGAGGCTGAGCCACTGAGCCACTGA